ATCATTTTACTGCTTTTGTTTTTGTTGTACAATGATACAATTACTGACAAGACAATAAACCAGTATTGTCTTTATGTTTCAAAACTAGGTGTCCAGTCGCATTCATGTTGGTGACCTATTTAGCAGGTTCAGCATTCAATTCCTGCGGCGGTACATTTCCACCAAAATGGGCCCGCATTCCTTTGCCTTGAGGCTGCTTTGTTAGTCTCTCGTCTGAGGAAGAAACGAGTTTCAGGAGATCTTGCCACAGTATGTACTTGTACTAGTGGATGTCTACTTGTACATGTGTATGTGACATGTGTGAAGCCTGGTTTCCATATCAACATAAGAGATGCAGAGAGTGATGCAAACTGCTATGCAGACATAGGGAAACATGTTAAAAGGAAGTATCGCAGATAAATGCAAACCAGCCCCAGATGGATCGGCAAAGTTGAGCCCAGTTCAACTTTGCCAGTTGTCTGCATTGAGTGGTTGACTAGGCCTATACAAACACACACGCTGGCATGACAGACAAACAATGATGTTTCTCTTGCTTAGTACCACTCATTTTGTCCATTTTCTCCTTATTACTAGCAGATGTAGCCCCAATCATCAACAAAATTGCTGACCATTAACAAATAACATCGAATTAGAGTATCAGTTTGGCTTCAAGTGGAAATATTGCCATCTAAGAAAGACATTCGGGGCAAAAATTTTCTGAGTTTTGGGTGCCATTTTGTTTAAATTTTTGGGTGGAATGGCTTCGCGTTGTGTCTCTTCCACAACTGTCTGCATTGCTGACCGTTTTTGTTTCAAACAACCATAGGGAAACCTGGCTTAATGCAGATGGTCCTCAAAACATAAAAAAAAAGTTAGACACAAACGAAAGAGACATCATTCTGCCCAAAAACGGCGACCGAAAATCAGTGATTTGTTTTCAGAAAATTCACTTTCAGATTGACTACACCTTGTCTTGATGCCAGATCTGTACTTCAGTTTCATGTATTTCGTTGATGGTCAGCTATGTAGTTGATCATAAGGTGTAATATTTGTGCATTAGGGTGAAAAAGGGCAAAAGGGTACCATCCGAGAGGGACATTGTTGCAAGCCAGTCATGCCAGTATGTGTGTTTGTATGAAGATACCAGGGCTAGTCAGACAGTTGACAAACTTGAACCTAGTCTTGGTCAATACCTTTTGTGCATCAAACGTTGTTACTTTATGATAGAGGGCACACCTCCCTTCGCGTTTGTGCTCTGAGTTCAGATGGGACCTCAGTTTGAACAGCTAGCTTACGGGTGCATGTTTTGGTAGTCTTGGTTCCACTATTTCTCTTTAATAAAGGGAGGTAAATTCATGACGAGCCATGCAGCTTTTTTCGCACAAAATCAAATCACATACAAGCAGCAAAAGAAATGCCAATTAAAGGAACTAAGGAAATATAACAAGTCGGTTACAAAATACAATTTAAAAAATACTAAAATCAATTACCTAAATTTATAACATTTCTCGAAGAAATGCCATAATATCATAAATTACTGTGATGATTGAATAATGAATAGAAAAATTCAGTGGAGTGGCAGATACCGGGTACAATTATCTGGCAAAAAATTACAACATGAGAAATGTTATAGTTGTAAACATTACTGCATGCATGCATGCACCAGAATGAAAGGGAAAGAGCAAGGACAAGCTAACAGCTTTATAGGATTCAATTGAAAACCAGCCACATTTCACTGCATGGTGCTCTGTCAGTAATTTATTTTTTGTTTGTTAAATGCATTGGCAGTATGGACTTTGGTGTACTGCATACAAACTGAAAGCACATGCCTGCTTGATTTTCAGCTGTCACTCATTGTAATTAGTGCAGGGTCATTCCATGTCAAATTACCCATTCAGTTGTCAGGTTGGTGTAGTGGCTCTTTCCTCACCTTCCACCTGTGCAGGTTAGGATCCATTTCTCCAATTGGGATGGATTGGTGTGGGATGGGATGGGATGGGATGGGATGGTGTCGGGTGGGATGGGATGGGATGGGATGGGAAATTAGATATATGTTATGATGTGATATATGATATAATATATGAAACATGATACAAGACATGACGTGATGTGACCCGACCTTACCCAACCTGTCATGACAAAATGAGTGTTAAGTCACACTCCACTTTTTCCTATAATGATGGTCAAAGTCAAAAACAGAGGATGTCCTTTCTTGGGTTTATCCTTTTTAACTTTTTAGCAGGATCAGGTATTTAAAAGAGGCATTTTCTTTCCCAAATTTGATGATGGCATTTTTTGTGGCCGGTCAATAATGCTGAAACATAGATGCAAAGCCGCTGGAATATCTCATTGTCACCTTATTTTTTACCTTAGGTGTTATGCGATTGAAAAGGTCTTTTTATACTAAATTAAAAAATGCTAATATCTCCATTTTCAAAAATTCCTTCTTTCAGCTCATTTTGAGTTGACAGGTCACATATGTATCACCCATTTTTGGTTTTGGGTTTTTTCTTTGGGGGGTAGTTTTTTGTTTTGGGGTGTTTGGGGATTTTTTGTTTTTGGTTTGTGGGTTTGCTTTTCATTTTTGGGGTTTTGGGTGTTTTAGTTTTAGTTTTTTTGTAAATTAAGATATAAATCCTACCCTTCCAATTTTGTTTATATCTGGTACTTGGGGTAAGTGTAACTGAAATTCTTTCTACGATGAAGAGCCCTCTGGTCACTCCTTTACCGGGGTACACTCCTTCAAGAGTGCATGGCATGCCCCTCCCATCCCCTAGCCCACCATGACAAATGCACCACATGCTGACCGTTAAACTGACACCAAAATATTTGCTGTTTTGCCAAGTTGTTTGTGTAAAACTGTAGGGCAAAGTCATTGATTGTTGTACTGTACTTAGGTTTATTAACTACTTCGTGCTGGGCGGCCTGTTTCCGAATCCATAGGCTTTATATGCAGAGCCGGGGAGCCTGGAACTGCGACAAAAGAGTTGGGCCTTATAACAAAAGACCGAGCTCAGCACAAAAGACTGAGCTGCTGGGCATTGCTGATATTTTATCGCTCTCAATAGTGGAGATAATCCAGCCTTGTTTTGCAACAGTATTCCACGGTTTGAGGCATTCTGAGTGAGCGGATTGCCACCGGGGACAAAAGCTCTCCACCTCCGCAGCGATGAGCCACACAGCACCACTGCACGCTAGTCCGGCCCCTATTGAAAAGAGGTCAGCAGTGCACTGTGCCGGTTTCGGGAACAAAAGAATCTTACGTAATACCGTAAAATTTGGGCTCTTTTTCCAACACTGCAGGCCTGGCTGAAATATTCAGGAGTTAATGAAGTTTACCCGTCAGCTTTACAGTAGTACCCAAAGAGTCCTTCATTTTGGTATAAATTACAGTATAACTGTATTTATCCCAATACTGTTCGACTGTTCTAAAAACAGTAAAAGGGTAAAAATGTCAATGGATTATATTGTTTACCGTTGTTGTCTGCGAGGAAATACAAAATCGTAAAACAAATTAATGGGATGTACTGGGATTCTGAAATCTGGCCTTTCCCTGACACTTGGCTTTTCCTTGTAAAATAGAATACATTAAGCCAAGATCTCACCTCATGTTTTGTCTTTGCCCTTTTAAACATTTTTTAAAGTATTTTTGTGTTTTTGTTTTCCAAGTGCCTCAAAAGTCTGAAACGGACCATGCTTTGCAGCAAGGCCCGAACAATATGGTGACCAACACAACAATGACCTGACAACTTTACGCCTCTTGCTTGTACTGATTTGTAGGCTACCTATGGGAGCACACAAATCAGAAAGACTGAAAAGCTGGCAAGGGGTTACAAATATGAGATGATTCATGATCCTTGTAGTATCTACGGAGTATCTTGATAAGCTATAAAAGCCCAATTTCTGTTCTTAGGATACTTGGTAGTTATACAGCATTTAAGGGCAGACAATGATTTATTTTAGGTGAACAGAGGTTTTCTTTCTTTGTGATGCATCTGGGCAACCAACATCAAAACTGGTTTTGACTGATCGAAGGCTAAATACAGAATATGGAGCTAAAACAAGGCTCTTGTTATTATATACTCAAAAGCTGACATAGGTTTTATTGATGCTTCCAAAAGACCATGATAAGAACTTTCTTTCATCACAGTTTTATTGTTCAAAGACCTGCACTAATGACCTGATAGCTACTTAAAGATAGCCATAATCATGACACAAATTTCAGGGTACCCTCAAGTAAAGGCTTGCCTCTGCCTCTTAAACACATTTTCCCCTCAATTTGGCCATCTGGTTTAGACCAGCAAGACCCTGCAAATGCTCTACTGTTTTCCATTGTTTAACAGCAAGCATTTAAACTTTTGTTGTCCAAAATCATCAATATCATGCATGTTCACTAAAAAAGGTACATATTTGGCTATTTTTCCTGGTAAGGTTGGATTAACTTTATGTTTTGCACAACTTCAAGGCTACCTGTGACCCACATACAACCAAATTTCAGCCAAATCTATTGACCCCACCTTATCACGTTCTGTATGGTCTACTCCTGGACACACTCTTAACAATGTGTGAAGGGTCAACTTCAAACATCTTAAATGATCATATTGGATTCTCTTAGATTTGTCAAGGTGCACCACATTAGACAACCCTCACCTGAATTTGTGCCCAGTTTTCTGGATGCTACCATTTTTGAATTTTGGACAGGATTCTTTGGCCTTGTGAAATGGAAACCTCCTCCGGTCACAGATAGTTCCTCAAGGCATGTAGGTGTGCATTATTGACCTCATCAGTCCATATGCATATCCACAGTCATGTAATTTTTCTGAGCCATTGAAAAAAGGCAGAGGTCCATGTAATTCACTCTAAAGTTGGTACTTGCATTGAAAGTTCAGGCATTTTGACTCCATTTATTAATACAGTGTCAATGACGTAGTTGCTGTTGGAACCAACACATTCTACTTCACTAATGACGGCTACAATAAACAATTCTTCAAGCGATTCCTGGAACGATTTCTCAAGTTTCCATGGGGTAACGTGGTTTACTATGATGGGAACACTGGATGGGGACAAGTTGTCATCCCTAGAAGCCTGGAACCTAATGGAATCAACCAATCTCCAGATGGGAGGTGAGTATAGGATACCCAGTCTACTCTTACTTATATGTTCCTTTAGTTTCTTTTGTTCTTTTGCCAGAAACATTTGGAATGAAGTTGTCAAGAAACACTGAGCCCTTTTTGTCAGTGTAGGTAGGCAGAATACCAGGAAAACACAAGGTATTGTAATGAAACAAGCCCCTGTTAAGTATTTTGCTGCTGCCCCCCCCTTTATATTTTTGGTTTAGTCAGCCCCTCCCAACCATTACACCCCCTGAGCTGTATGTGTCAGTTTAGTCAGGCATGCAGTACATGCATTGTTAGCTTATGTAAATTACTATTATAAGACCCCTATTCTTTACATTCAAAATAACCCTGTGCACTTCAGTCTGCTAAGTGCTGCAGTAAGGGTAGGATCTCTGTGGAGGGCTGTGCAGGTTTTGCCTGTGCATTACAAGGGAAGGCCTGAATTATAATGACCATAGTCGTAGCTTGAGACAACTTAGGCCTCCCCCCATAGAGTTATGGCGCTTAACCATAGCCATAAGCTACTCCATAGCCATAAGCTACTCCATACTCTGAGGCCATCACTGATCCACACCCTTTTTTTTGTGATTGTTTACCTTGAAGCTTCCAATATTTTGCCATAAATGTTCACATTATATACGTGACCCTATTAATTAAAATGTTGTCCAGTTGCCCTTAAAAATAAAAGTACAGGTGGTAATAATTAAGTATGTGGATTTTTTGTGTGTATGTATGTGTAATAAAATAGTTTAGATTGATCCAGCAACCATCTTTCCTCTGTTTACATGTGCATGTCTTGCCGCGACCCTTGACCATGCTACAGTATTGTTATGCTCCCACAACCTGTTCCCTATATGCATTTAAATTAAAGCGTACACACTATTACACATACCACTTACCCACCGGGGGCACGCAATGACCATCTCGATTACACGCATTGTACACAGTGTATTACATTCCACATGTGACCACGTTGCTCTATGCTGTAACATGCCCTTGAACCGCAATTCCGAAGAACACTTCCAACTTAGTCATTTTCCCCCAAATCTTTCTCTACTTTCTCTACTTTCAGTCACAGATATAACCTGTACATTCGACCCACATAGACCCCCAACTCATACCGTATGTGTCCCACCACACCGAAAACCTTTGTCTGGTTACGGCACAGCGAGGTCAATTACCTCCGCTCACCCTCAGTTTTACCTCGTAAGAATTACATGTAGATTTCCTAGCCATCTAGAGACTAAGTGTTGTACACAACCCAATGTACCAAGAAAGGCTCACCCTTTCCTTTCCCCCATTGAAGTCCCCTGTAGCTCACCCACGAGCAGCCTTTCACCCTCACGCTCCCAAATTTCACGGACTTTATTGCTCTTCAGAAACTAAGTCACCGAAGACCAACTGTGTACAAAATCACCATGGACTTTTCTTCCGTAGCCTTTCTACATGCATGAATAATTCATAACAACATACTACTATTGTGCAGTGATCTTTTAGGTTATGAGAACAGCATCAAAGTCTATATAAAGCGACCAGCTCCAGCGGTCAGCTTCAATCATCCTGAGCAGGCAACTTTGGAGCAATAACTTCCTTACCATTCATGAGTGTATATATAGCTGTGATATGAATACCCTTCCTATCACTCCCGAATGAATAGCTCAGATTTGGACGAGCAGTACTTTGATTATTGTTTTTATGGTAATACAGTAATATCCAGCCTTGCTAGCAGCAGTTGCTCTTTGTAAATATGGAAATGATGTATATAATTCTTCGGAATAAAACAGTAGTGTGTGTATAAGTCAATCCAATGACTCTTGCTATGATAATGGCTCCCTACCCTAAGGGAGACGTTACAGTATATATGAATATTTACACAGTGAGAGCCTTGTGTTATTATATGTATACGGTACAAATCGGGCGTTTCCATGAGCATCTTATGATGCACGAAATCCATATCTATACTTAACGCCGGGAAGCGGCTATAGCCACCATAAAAATTGAGATCCTCAGCCCGCTTTCTAGCTATTATTCTCGGCCCACGCTCGAGCAAACACGGTGAAAGAAGGCAGACCCTGGCTCTTGTGTATATAGTAATTGGTCTTTTTGCGTAGCCCAGAAATGAAAAGACCGATTTTGGATCATAATCACCAGCTTCACAATAGTCCCCACTTTGAAAAGAGGCAACGGGAATGTGGAAGGGTGAGTAGAGCTGCATGCCACCGAACAATCAGCCTTTTCACCGTGTAATTCAAAGCGTGCAGAGCACGCAGGGCCACAAACCGAGAATTTGCATTTTGGCAGGTGGCCTTCATGGCCAAGCGAGGCTGGAATTCTTGGAGTCAGCTTTCGGGCAGAAATTCCCGTTGTCAAGGGGTTAATTAGGTCAAGGAGCTAGACATATTTAGATACACCAGTGGTACAGTTTATGTCCTACATGTATGTTAGCACAGTGAAGAAAAGGGCTGCCATAAGAAAGTGTAATGTCTTCCTACATTCTTATGTCGAAAGTTCATTTCTTGTCTATCAAGTGTAAGTTAAAAATATCAAGAAAGGATAAAAGACAGTTGTTTTCCTTTGTGAATGGTTGGTCTTGTCATGCGGTTGAAAAGTTCCAAAAGTAGGCCAAAGTCCATATTGGGACAATAAGAGTGCTTTGACTGTTGCATAGCAGTACAATAGTTGCATTAGAACATGTGTTATGAGTGAGACAGGATGGCACAAGTGATTTTTTTTGTCATACAAGAGTTGACGAAAGGCATCCATTCCTTAAACCCCCATTATACTGTGATGACGACCAGGAAGACCTGCTACTTGTATAGGTTTTTCCCTTACCCAATGTGTATATTTGTAAACACTGTATACTCACAGCGTGACTGAGGGCTTGCAAAAAATTCACATGCTTATTTGGGTGGGACTTGAACCCATGACCTCCTGCTTATTAGTGCAGATGTCTTAACCACTCGATCATCAAACTTGGACGGGTCGGCTGACCGGTCTGAGTCAGATGTACATGTAGCAGCTGGTAGCACAAACTATTTCATTTTTGGGTTGGAGAGATGTTAATTCTATTTGCAGGTTTTGCCCTCAGACCGGACCAATCAGATTAATATCTCATTGACAACAAGTACATCTTGAAAGACCTGCTACCATGGCTACTGGTACATTGTAAAATTTCATTAAAATGTAGCTTGGAATGAACCTGGGAAAATTAGGCAAAAATGTTCTTTCAAGATTGCACTAGACTGTTACTGCCCTGCCGACACATGTACGAAGTTCACTTTATGTTCTCAGCACAATTAAACTGAGCTGGAGTCTTGACGCTGCTAAGATGCAGTCGGATCTTTCCACGATTTCAAAGACTTTGATGCCGTGCTCATAACCTAAAAGATCACTGCACAATGGAAGTATGTTGTTGCTGTGTGTATGACGTGCAGTACATTTGCAGCAAGCTGCTGTCACATTTTTAAGCATTTCTTGTATTTATACATGACACTGTTGAGGGATTGAACTTACTGACTCTTGAATCTAGATGCCAGAACCATTTGTATAAATTTGGGAAAACACTAATTTCATCAAATAGATTCTGACACATACTCTCTCCAGAGAAAACCAGTGGAAGAAATTTGTGGTCTAGTAATGCATCTACTGTGGTCATCCCCAAATGTCAAACTAAAAGATATAACAAATCTACAGTGCCCTCACCAGCAAGAATTCTTCTTTACGGATTCCCTTTTTCCCCTGTACATTTACACTTGCGCCCCCCCCCACTCTGCACTCATAGTTATTCTCTTTAACTGGTTTCATTTCTAAATATAACTATCTTTTTTTGGTTTTATAACTCCTTTATGTATTTGTATTCAGTTTTGTTTATGTTTCAATTTTGTAACGACCACAACTTGGTCATCTGGCTGCCATGTGTCAGTTTTTATGAAATAAATAAATAAACCAATCAATAAACAATAATATATCGTCATTTTTTTAATATAATCCTCCCATTGTATGAGCTGTAGCATGCAAAAATTGGCAGATTAAAATTTAAAGTTGGCATATAACACCAGTGTATATATGTAAGCCACAAAGGTCATCGTGCTTCATGATGAAGCGCCAGTACAGCATGTATAGTACATCAGTGGTTCCACTACACGTGCACCCCTAATAAATCTAATCAGAGTGCAAACGAGTGCCACCATTAAAATGAATATTAAGTCCTCAAATATTAAAATTTGTGGGGCTGGACAATTTTACTGCATGGACCCTGCAGCAGCTTTTGCCCTTTTTTCCAAGCAGCCAGCAAAAGTTATGCAGACAGGGATGTACAATAAAAGTGTGATAACTCAAAGTCAGTTAAGTCGAAAGACTATTCATCTATTAAGCACAATACCTCCTTAACTTGAAATGTCCACAAAACTACATCTGGTTACATCGAAGTTTGTGACACTGATCAAAAGACACCACCGAATTACTTTAAAAATAGTAGGTATTGAGGACTGCCACAAGACCTTGGTTCGAGGAGTCATTGCCAAGCTCAAAGCCACACTCGTGTTTTTACTAAAACTGTCTGTGTTGCATGCATGCCACATCAGCGTGGCAGTACACGCACTGCACCTGGGACCACAACAAATCCAACTTTCAGGTTATCCTGACTGCTACTTTGGACCAATTCATGGACAGTCCAATCACTGACTCACTCTTCTGATAACCATGTGACCACTGAAAGTGATGTCATCAGAAATCCAAAGTGAAAACGGACCCAAAATCTGTGACATGTCATGGCGAACGTGATCAGCGAAAAGATGAGTTTAGCTACATGAAGGAAAACATACCATTTAAGCAGCTGATTTTTATATGTTGGTTTAAAGAAACCTTTAGGTAACAATAATGAAAAATTTCAGTAAAATAATTGTGTGCAAAAGATGAGGGCGCACTACTGATCAAGAATTCAGTGAATGGCGTAATGGTCTAGGGAAATATGTAAATGTATTGGTAATTTGGATAGGTATTCTCGCGGACACTCGGCCCACTCTAGGTGGGGGGAGAATTTGGCTTCTGGCCTCAAAGAAAGCTTATTATTAAACCATTTGAATTAAACTGAATAGCACAGTTGCTTTCCTGAGGCATCATTTTATGGACACATACCATGAGGTGAAAACCAGAAGAATTTCTAAGCTAAGCAAAAGTGTCTTCAATTCTCATTCTGTATTAAAGTGCATTTAATTACTCCTGGGGGGGTTACATACCACAATATTATTGTTGTGCTTTAAACAAATTGAATATATTGGTAAGGACAAGGTTTGCAACTCTTGCTTGGGGATACTGCGACTAAGAATGCACAGAACATTGGTGTTTTGTGTTCCTTCTGATTTATGATCCATCCCACAGTGCTAACAACATTTGTGTTCTTCTTTGCCTTGGACCATGTACCATTGATCACTTTCAAAGCTGACTATGTAGTCTCAGTAACTGGTGTTGCTCACCTCTTGGGTATATGGCCCAAGCAGGTTTATGCCAATTGTTAATTGAAAATTCGTTCAGGAATCTTAAATTTGATTGCCAAAATGTCAAGTTGGCTTGGCATCTACCAAACTGGGGAAAAGGAAGAAGAGAGGTCGTAGCCTGATCTGCCTAGGGAGCTGCATGGCAAAAATGGTCCATCTGAAAGCAGGACAAAGCTTCCACTATCTCCCCGACATGTACTGCTTGAAAAGAAATATTGAAGCGTAAGCAGTGCAAATTCGTCCAACGTGCCTGGCCAGCTTCTCGACACTGCCACATAACTATGTAGTTATATTCAAAGCAATGGCCTGGCCTCTTCAGGGCCTAATGGCTAACTGAGAGCTATGGTTGGTGCTCCTCATGACAGGAGAAATGACGCTGGCTGCTGCAACTGTAAGCCAGAGCTGATAGTCTATTTCCCCCATGATCATGCAGGATTGGCCTCTTGCTGAAGGCTGCTCATCATAGGATTTCAACCATTCCCCGGAAACTGTATGGAAGGAGTGCAAATAATTTTGACATACTTGAGTGGCTCTGGACAATGGCTTGGATATTTAATGACATAAATTGATATAAAAACATGAAAGGCAGACTGCCACAGCTCAAATGTGTCACTGTCTGCTTGCACTGTGCTCCCAGCTTCTTCAACGCTAGATTCCCCCCTTCAACAGAAATAGTGAAAATAGAGAAAAATCAACAAAAGCTACCTGCCAGATTTTTTTCACACACAACTTGGGGAACATTAAGGCTAAGCAGGGAGGCAGTGCTGGATGCATGGACTGGGTGGCTAACTGGAAAATCCTAAGAAATGTTGGCAGGCAAACAACTGCAAATGGAGGAATGAATGCCCAGTGTCAATAACAGCAGGTGTAGTTGTGGGAAATGAAAACTGAGGTCAACAAGGAGGCCCAAACTCCCCCAGATTGGTGCCAGCGCTAGACATTTTGGTGGGCTTGGCATCAGCCTAGTGTTCAGGGGGCAATTCAGCTGAGCATGCTGGGCTTAATCCCACTGGGAGGTTTGAAAGGCTATGGTCTGTAGTTATTGGAAACCCCACACATGGGTTGGCTGTGGCGGTGGTCGACGTCATCGATGGCTGCACTGGCAGGGCCACAAATGAAGCCGTAGGCAACCCAGAAGTTGGAATACCAGAGAGGCACTTGATGCAAGCTAGATAGGATGCCAATGAAACTTCAGCTGGACCGGAATGGCCCGATACAGAGGTTGCTGATGGAGCGGACAACTGGGTTGGGGCCAAGTAAAAATACCCACCGGTGAAGACTGGATTGGTTGGCACATTTAGTGTCAGCCCCCCTTCAGTTGTGACTGGCACTCTGAATCCCTTGACTGGGCTGGCTGGCGAAACTCCCTCAGGAAGGGGAAGAAAGCACAGGCTCTACGATTTTGCATTATTGTGGCCCTGCGATGCGCCAACAAATCACCAGCAGACATCTGGCACTGAATTCACCATCTGGAAGTAGGCCTAGTGGTAGCACTCATCATAGCCATATCCGTGAAACAGGCAGGTTGACGAGTGTGATGAAGATTGCCTTGATTTATGAATTTGGGAACCGAAACCAAGAGCTGGTGAAAGGAGATTCAGGAGAACACTACTGGTCGAACCAAGGTACAAGCAGACAATATGATCATGAATTACATGTGTATATCAGAGGAAAACAATGAAAAATTGGAGATAGGAATTTCGTGTTTGCCTGTGCACTCCTGATGACAGAGTGACCATACAATTACAGCCAGCTGCACTTGCAGCGTGCCGATGCACACCCAAAGTGAATCTGATTGGTTTAAAGTTTTCTGGCAAAATTTGCATGAATGTGACCTTTGCACTCTCATAATTATTCCTTATTAGGCAAATAATTGGCCTAGCCAAAATAATAATTGCCCAGCAAGCATGCCACAAAAAATATAACAAAGCTCGATGACCAAGATATACTCACCTGTTGACTAGTTGCGTACAAAAATGATATAAATACACTGTATACCGGCTGCGCATTAGGATAAAATAAGGTTTGCTGAGTATAAGGCTTTTTTATCTTGTAGGGGTAAAAAGAAATAGTTGGAAACGTAAGTATCTTATGGTAGTCTGCAGTGGTCAAAGACATTTGGTTTAGTTAGGAACAAATTTAGTCACTTTGAATAAGGATGTCTTCAACGATGGCAGAGTTACATAATGCAGGCGATGATCACAGGATATTATGAGACCATTGTTGATGTTCATTAAGCAAGATATGCGGAGTGCGTGCCAGGAATACACAAGGGGTCTTGCAAGATTGGTGAACTAGTAACAGGTGCTAGATAAGCTGATGGGAGAACACAGAAAACATAAAACCTGAATTTCAAAAGTTAACTTTTTGTGACCGATTATCTCTGTTGCCTTGAACCACTGAAGTAAGCTTTCCGCCGATTATCTCTGTTGCCTTGAACTACTGAAGTAAGCTTTCTGCCTTTGAAAATCTTAATACATGAGTATATTTAAGTTTAACTTCAGTTTGCTTCAGGATTCCATCTTCAAATAATGAGCTAATTTGACACATACATGTTGGTATTTTCATAATGTTGAAACTGTTAATGATTCTTTGGTTAAACTTTGTATTAGTGAAGACAAAGACACCATAACATGTTACTGGACTTTGATAGAATAGTTTTCCCTTGCTGGTTGCCAAACTAAGACGACATAAAGCATAGTGATATGCTGATGAACACATATCAAGCAGTCACTTTTAAGAACCACAACCAACTTGCGGTGCACATATTGGAGCAAATCCTGAAATGTTTTTTTCGATCTCACAGCAAATAAATGCTTTATGTTCAATTTCCTCAATCAGGTTTATTTATGTTTCATCTCCTGTTGTTGGAGCCTTGACTGTGTATGAGCGTCAACCAGATTATTCACTGAAACCTATCCAGGTTAGCATTTTGCATAGCTGATATGGAAAGCTTTGTGTGGGTATTTGCAAACTTTTGAAGGTCAACAAATAGTTATGGCATGTGCCATTTTTACTTATAAATATTAATCAGTATTTTTTGACTGTTTTTTTTTTAAGTTGCAGAAACATCTTTTTTTGGACATGTACGCTTACTGGTCCAGTGACCAATGTGTCAAGAGAAAGAAATCTTTTGACCCCAAATTATTTGTTCTTTCTACGTCATAGTATGAATACCCTGTGATTCTCTGATTACTTGAGAGTTGAAAAACTGTCGTATTGGGAAGTTAGAAATTCAGTTAAAAGTGCTGCCATATGCTACAAATTTTCGGTGTGAGCCTGTGAGACAACATGGCCCTGGTTATTTTTTTAATAGAGGGATGTAATTTCAAAATGACTGTGACTCCTTCCTAGTATATTTCAGAGTTTAAGTCAGTCTGTTTGGGAGTGGAATATTAACATGAAGTGTCCACAGAACTGCCCTGAAAAAAATTAAATTAAACATGACTGTTCCTCTTTTATTACTGTATATTTGGTCATGCATGGAAGTTGTGAGCATTATTTTTTACATGTACTTTCAATATTGGATTTTCACTTTCTGTTCTTGATGGTACTAGGTGATTGATCTCTATACAAGTCCGGATAATGTTTACGTGGATTCATCATCGGGTGACCTTTGGTTTGGATGTCACTTGATTAGCTATCAGACCATGTTGCACTTCCAAGATTTTAGACAGCCATCTGCATCACAGGTATTGTACAGTTATTTACCTAATATGAAAAGCATTTACTTAGTACAAGAAGACTTACGTTTAGCATTAAATATTTCTTGTTCTCAAAGTCATACAACACTTCAGACAGGCCCGTCGAAAGGTATAAAAAAGTGGGGGGCATCAGTGTTCTCCATCCTTTTTGATCAATTTTTGCGTGGGGATCAGGGCCTGCTGAAGGGGCCCAGGAAATTTTGGATTCTAGATGCTGTCTGGTGCAATCTTGGGGACTTTTCGGGCCACCTGCTTCTATAATTTGGCCCCAAATTTGCTTGCATTTACAAAGTGAAATAATGACAAGAATTTCAGTAAAACCATAAGCCAATATAAACATACGTGCATACATGTACTGTACTGTGAAGAAATGGCTTTAACAAGTTGGTGGCAAAATTTTAATGGAGTGAGACATTTTTAAAAATGCGTATATAATAACAAGAAGACGACTAACGTATACCCGGATTTAAGCAAACACCCCGATTTAACTTTAAACTCGGCCGAACAAGCGGAGACTAAAATTTACTGCCTTCAAAAGATCGAAGAAATCAAATCTCAGATTCAAAAAGAACGTGACGCGCGCGAAGCTAGCTATAAAAAGATTAAATGGGTACTCACCGCACTCGGTTACATAAAGTACGGCATAGAAGCACTGGGCGTGACCTCAGCAGCCGTCGAAATTCCCGCTATTTTAGGCGTCGTTACCGGACCCATCGGACTTGTGATGGAAAGCATGGCTATCGGTGCGTTTGGTGCTTACGCGATATTAAAATATGCCAGTCGTCGGCTAGCCCATAAAACTAAAAAGCACGACCAAATTCGAATGTTTGCAGACGCTAAATTAAACATGATCGAGCAATACGTATCTCACGCCATCGAAGACGGTGACACATCGCAAGAGGAATTTGTACTTAATTTATCCGAGCTGAACAAATTTAACGAAATGAAAGAAAAGATAAGATCAAACACGAGCACCAAACTGCAAGCGAGCGGTAAAGAGGAATTTGAACGTCAAGTCAACGAGAGAGCGGAAGTGCTAGCCAACGGACTGGCAGCCGTTTTAAAAGAAGATCTTATGAGAAAACTTGGCAAGTAAGTTTTACAAAGTCGGTCCGATATCAAGATCTACCACCCGCTTATCGAGAAGCGATCCCACTGACGGCGCCTCCTTTAAAATAAAAATAAAGACGTATAAAATAAATAGGAGCCAACTTTAGTAGTTTAACAATTTTAGTCAACGAAGACAACTGGTTTTCAGCCGAGTTTCCAAATTTAATGCACGGGTATAAATTACCAAAAGTAACCTCGGATGAAGCCGTCAATCGCTGGGTGACGGAGCCAATTTCGTTTTATCAAAATCAGTTTAATTTTGCAGCCTATTGTGCGACGACGGCCTGTGGCGTGGGTTTTGACCTGCTGTCTGACCCCAATCTTGGCTTTATTCAATTTTCACGTATATTACACCGTACGAAAAATATTTACGACTGCGTGATGCCCATTCCTAGCGATGACGTATTTGACGCGTTACACAATAATTACGACCATCAGAAGTTGACGGACACGTGTCTTTTATATGGCGTCGACCCAAACAAATCGTTTAAACAAACTCGCGACACTTTGTCAAACAAATTAGGCACTGCCTATTATTACGACAACGGTTACGTACCTGTCCTAGGTAAAAACTATGACGCGCACGATTTATACCTGACCAACAGTAAATACACGGGGTCTACCTACATGGGCTTTGGCTGGGCTAAACCGCCTAAAGGCTCGGGTTACACAAGTACTTACACGGTCAATTGGATTTTACAGGCGGACGATATAACAGATTTTTAAATTTATTCCAAATCTAAAATCTCGGGCCGCTCGTTGTTCGCTTCGCTTTTTGGTTGAACAATTGGCTTTGGTTGAATCGGTTCCTGTAATTTGGCAGGTTTTCTTTTCAAATAAAATGCGAGTAAGATTCCTCTGATCGCCAATCCACTCATGATTAAATATTGGTTGTCTTTTAAGTTTGCATAAATTTTATTTCCAAGCTAGGGTCACTCGGGTCACTCGATTTGCCTAATCTCATCTTGGCGAGATGTTGTCATGTCATGCTAATTTCTTACCTTGTTCCATTCGTCTCGGGTTTTTAACTTTAGTTACTGTCTGAATTTGGGATTTTATCAGGCTGTTCGCCGGGCTCGCTTTGCTCACTTCTTCCATGGTTGACATCCTCTTTTATAATAAGAGAACTGCATATTGTTTAGCGGTAATTAACGCAACTGCCAATGGCGATAAATAGACTCCGTATTTATAACAAATCTCGGTTAGAAAATGACCTACGGTCTTACTGATAATTTGATCGTCGTTTAAATCTTTTGTAAGTGCTTCTTCAGACGTTAAATTGACTTTGAATCCTAGGAGATCGACCGGGGTAGCTATTCCGAGTAAATGCGCGTATAATCTTAGAATCGCATAACCTAACGTATTAACGATTTCTTTACCGAATCTAACTTCGTACAGATTGAATAGCTTTTCTTGATCTTTAGGGCTAAGCGACACGATGTCCTTTACGGAATATTCTTTACCCAGGTATTTCTTAGATTTGTCAGAAGCAACAATCGAGCGGAGTCTTTTACATTCTTTACATTTAATTTGGATTTGGTTGATTCACTTTTTGAATCAGCGAAAATTGATTTGATGTCTTCCATTTAAATATATGATTTTTAAAATTATTGAATGTTTGCTTTAGGCGTAGGTACTCAATTGTATAGTATGTTAGATTAGCTGCTATAGTTAATTGGGTAAGTAGTTGAATGTATTCAAGCAGAGTTATCATTTAATTATGAGTAAAATAAAAAAGTTATAGTTGAGCTACATAGCTCAACTATAACAGAGGATAAGTAATTAATAAGTAATTAATAACTAGCTTACAAGTCAGTTGACTCTGGAACCATATTACACTTGCGCGTTAAGTTACACCTACGGCAAACCAATACACAATTCCATTTCACATGCCCAAAGTCCGTATGTAACCTCTTAATAGTGGCTTGATCGTCTCCTGACTCGATATATTGCAATTTTACGTTGCAGTCGTTATAATAACAAAATTCATGGTTGTCGACCAATTCCTCTAAAAACTCCATATCGATAAATTTTTCGGGGCTGAATAAATTATTTTTTTTATCGTACTGTTTAGAACTACATAACCAGCGATTAATTGTAACTTGAATAGCGTCGCTGCAAATTTTGCAATCCAATCTTCGCCTTCTGTGAATACATATTTCAGAACCATGACAATCAACACGTTGTGATTTCCGCATATTGTGAATACATATTTCAGAACCATGACAATCAACACACCATGATTTCCACTTATCGTAAATACATATTTTAGAACCGTGACAATCAACACACTGTGATTTCTGCTTACCATGAATACATATTTCGGAACCGTTACATTCGACTCATAGATATTTCTGCTTACCATGAATAAATTTACGCCGATCATTAGATATTTTATCGGCTGCGTTACAAGTAATGCACCCCGAAAGCGTCACGACCTTGCGTTAGAACAATCGGCGCAAGTGAAGGAATCATGGGAACAAAACTGCGTACGAATGCTAGATTTTCTGAACGAATGCGACAAGAACGCGCGAGTCAGCAAACATTTGTAAACATGGACGAAGCGTTACAAGCTTACAGCGAATTGACCGGTAAAAATTTAATGCCGTTGCCACCAGAGCCTAAATTGTCAGATTTCTACGCGCCTTCCGAGGATCAAAAAATTCGTGAGTTTGTGTGGATTTTGGGTGGGACGGCCTTAGTTGGTTTCTTAGCTTATCGATTTGCGTAACTTTATTTTAAAAATGGAGCGAGAAATTTCAAAGTTGTTTTACAGCCCGCAAGGCGACTGGCGAGGAGAAAGCGCGGTTGATCATCTACACGAAAAGACCGGTGCGAACAAATCAGTCATTAGGAACTGGCTAAAAAAGTAGGCTATTTGGCAAATTTATTTACCCACACCTGCGTACGTAGTGAGACCAATGACTTTGCAAGCAGAATTGGTCGAACCTCATTATGCGCATCAAATGGATATATTATATTTACCCTGGGACCGTGTTAAAAGAAAAACGTTTAAATATGCTTTGACAGTAGTAGATGTGGGTTCACGGTATAAAGAAGCAGAACCATTGACCAGTAAAACGGCCGAGCAAGTGAGCGTAGTGAGCAAACAAATTTACGAGCGATCGCCCTTGACTTGGCCTAAAATTATAATGGTAGACTCGGGATCTGAATTTAAAGGCGAGTGTAAAAAGTTAATGACAAAAAATAAAGTAGAAATTATTACCTCCAAATGTATTAGTTAGATATTTATATTACCCAGGTGAGCAAGAGGGCAGCACCGTCAGAAGGGCAACAGATCCTGTCTGGTCAGTGGACGTTTATCAATTGTAGAAGCGCATCAGTCAATTTAAACGAGTCCGGGGTAAAAGGGTAAAAACGGGTCCCACTTTATATTATTTATTAAACGGGCCAAATAGGAGTTTCGTCAAAGAGGAACTTCAAGTCGTACCCGAGAATACCGAATTACAGCCCGGGTCTCACTTTATATTATTTATTAAACGGGCCAAATAGGAGTTTTGTCAAAGAGGAACTTCAAGTCGTACCTGAGAATACCGAATTACAGCCCGGGTCTTATCTGCGCAAAAACTGAATTGAGGGCTTTCTCTTTGTCTTTAAAATTTGAGTTGTACACCTAGTGATAGATAAACGATTTGCATTGATCTTTTGTTTTCAGCTTGATAGGTTGCTTCGCTCGATCGAGGTCAGTTGCTTTAAATCCTCTGATCCTCGATTTATAGTGCCCGTAAGCCAACTAACGGCGAGAGGCTCAACTTATTTTGCGACACTGTGAATATCTGATGTTTGTCAGACCTAAATAATAGCTGTTTATTGAAATGCTGCTTCTGTTCAAATAAGCAACTTTTATACATTTCGTG